TATCCTTTGACTTACAGTGCGCTGTAACTAATGTTCGCATTAACAGAGGTGCAGAACTGTCAACCCATCGCCACCGTGTTGCTACCTTCCTGCGCTGCAAAATGTTTGTTACCATGCGAAGTTTTGGATCAATAAGGAATGAGAGGGAATCAAACGGGAAGCATTATCTCGTGCAACTACCAAGGCGACACCAAAATTGCGTTGCACAAAGATTTGAGTAGAGGTTCTTTGAGACGGGTTTACTTGGGGTGGTTTTAAAATCGTTGGAATGCCGCCTATTCGTCAGGAACCAACTTCCTGACATACATCAGAAGTTCAATTGGCTGTCGATGAGAAGACTCCGTTCAAGAGATGCCTTGGAAGCAAGACTTTCAATTCGAAAGAAGCACGAAGAAGCGTTCTAGAGATGTTGGAGTCAAATTTCCAAACAGAAAATAAGACATTCTGGCAGACCATCTGCGTCGCCGAGATCCAATGAAGGGCAGATTTAGACTTCTGAAGGACAAGTTTGACAAGGACAACGTCTTCTTACTACGGAAGAGATTGTATTTCAGCGATGGAGGGAGCACTTTGAGGAACTTCTTGACCTGACCAACTGCAAGGAGACTCGCCTGAGAAGCATCAGGCAAATGATATTAATCTTTTAGCAGATGGAATCACAGAAGCTGTGAAATGCTTGCAAAATGGGAAGGCTCCTGAAATCGATGAAATGCGCCTTCAGATGCTTAAGCCTTTAGGCAATCAATCCACGTGTGACTTGTGCCTAACAGGTGATTGTCAAACTGCATTGACTAAGGAAAGGCACCAGTGAACTGGAGAACGAGCATTGTTTGAAATGAAAGTTTTAAAAGCTATACAGCACAGCCAAAAGGCCATATATTGTCAAGACTAAACAGTTAAACATATGATTCCTTTTTTGTACCTGTGCATTCCATGACAGGGTTCCCCCATATTGTGAATATTGGAAGAAAGGAAGAGCCACATGCTTTTCTGACCAAAATTCTAAGAATGTTACTTCTATTACAAGGTAGGCACTGAAAAAAGATAGGGTTACATCATAAGTTCCAGGTGAAATACGGTTGAAATGGTACAAAGATGCAGAAACCAGTATCCCAAGTGTTATAAACTTTACATTTCATTTTATTTCAATTGGAAAGCTTGACTTAGGCTGCGACAAAACCCATATCCTTTTCTTTTCTTCATCTATTTACCAAATGCGTATCAAGGCGTAGCGAAAAAAATACCCTTGCGTGAAAAGAACAAAAACAGTTCATGGACAGCCATACGTATAAACGTAGTTTGCTCTCTTACTGAAGAGATTAAGTTGTCCTAACGAAAACGAAACGAAACTGTGCGACGAGGGGTGGATGATCAACGCCATATACTCCACTTCATCTGCGTCTCATTATGCAACTAAAGGCAGAGATTCCTGAGATGATTATGGATTTTGCAGGTCGTCTATGGTCTTGGCAATGCAACAAGCTATAGTAGCTGAGGTTCTCGGGGGCCCCAGAAGCAGCGTAGAAAAACAATGCGTTAAGATTCAAAATGCAACGAAGCGATATCAACGTCCAAAAACAACGTGATTCACACGATTGGTCACGGAGTTGTTGTGTTGCACATGTGAGTGCCGCAAGTCCATCGGTACGTTGCAGAGGG